GACCCTGCCCGTGAGCAATCTCCCAACTCATCTCTGATATTACTTGACGTATCAGACTCACCCAACCCTGATTAGGTTCGTTCAAATAATTTTTGTCCAATGCCGAACAGCATCTTTCTGAAAATAACTATAATATTCATCTTGAACACGACGCAAAGATGGCGGCGGTACGCTGATCTACAATATTATGTATCCGTGCCCAATTGGGAATCACGCAGAGAATTGGCCATAAATTTAAGCAATATTAATATATAAGAATTCCTCTTTCTTTTTTAAGAAAATTGGTCATTGAATGAACTGAAGAATTGTTTTCATAATGGATTGTGTTATTTTAAAAGAGATTTGATATTAGAAACGTCAGCATTCATAAATCTAGAACTACAGGGAGAAAAGATTAGTGTCCCCATCTATTAACGGCCACTTAAAACTGTCAGTAATAAGTCTGTGACTTGTATCTCTGAATTGCTCTGCATGGTACGGTACTTACAGTCGCCTTCGTTCTTATCGTAGAAATACGGTGGAGTAGGGTAATTGTATATTTCCTTGACTCTTTGGGCAGTATTCAGACCTTGCATATATTGTGGAAAGCGTTTTTTTTTATCGCATTATTAAGGCTTCATTGCTACAGCGTGTACAAAATTGCTTCCCGTCTGTGCCTTTTGCATTGGCCTTAAATCATTCCTAGTAAACAATGCGAAATTCCATCATAAGCAACGCTGTTGTCAGTTAGGTGTAATGCAAAAATGAATTTTTTGCCAGCACTGCCTAAGAAAGTTCTAAGATGCTTATACTCCAAAAAATGGTTTATGAGCACGAGCAGGTAATGTGGAAAAAAACCATCATTGACGTCCCTTGTGAAATTCGACGTCGCTGAAATTCGTCATTAGACTTGTATGAGTAGCTTTAATTGCAGGTAAATGTAACGAAAACAGAGACGAGACGGGGGCAGCAACGGTGACAGTGAGTTTTAGCCGTTTGAAATTGCCTTCATTTCTGCCCTCGTTAGTCCTGATAATTCTGAAGACTTAAAATAAACACACGGGATCCTCATCGATGCAATGTTGACGTTCATATATCAAGTGTCACTTTTCCTCTCGGTTGGAGTACTGCACGCTTCAAGTTGGACCGAAACAAATGGTCCATATCTGAAAGATGATCTGGAACATCATGGAAAATGCGAGCCTATCACCGTCAATTTATGTATGAACATAGAATACAATGAGACCATTATGCCGAATGTACTCAACCAACAGAAGCAAGAACAAGCTAATGCAGAGTTACATAAATTTGCTCGCTTCATGAAACATGATTGCAGTCCAGTTTTACAGTTCTTTTTGTGTTCTATGTATGTACCAGTTTGTACAATTTTAAGACAAGCGATACCTCCCTGTAGAGATGTGTGCGAGAGTGCACGCAGTGGTTGTCAAGCGATAATGAACCTTTTTGCGTTTGAATGGCCTAAGGAATTGGATTGCTCAAGACTGCCAGAATACAGTACTGAATTAAATGCAACAATTTGTGTGAGAACCAACGAAACTGTCCCATCAGAATCTCCAACTATGAGAGATCCACCTTTACGAGTTTCAGATGTTGAATTTCAACCATCATGGAACAATGAATGGAAACCATATGGCAATGGCTTAATACCTGGGGCTCGAGACTATGGTTTCGTATGTCCAGTACAGTTTAAAGTACCTCGTGACTTTAGCTATGTTCTCAAGGTAGGCGATAAAATTGAAGAAGACTGTGGAGCACCTTGCGACGGAATGTTCTTCACAGAAAGAGAGCGAAGATTTTCAAGAATTTGGAATTTCGTCTAGCGGCTTGTTATATTAGCCAAATCGCTGTCCTCAAGATTTTCAAGAATTTGGATTGGCATGTGGGCTTCTCTATGTGCCGTGTCGTGCTTCTTCACATTTCTTACATTTCTGATTGACACGGACAGATTCAGGTAAGACTGACTTCCATATGTACATATCATCAAATATAAGTTGAAGCAGTTCAAGTATATAATAGAATGCTTTTTCCAGATATCCCGAACGCCCAATTATCTTTTTATCCGTTTGCTACTTGATGGTAGCTCTAGCGTATACAATCGGTTGGGCAGCAGGGAATTCAATTTCTTGCAGAGAACCTTTTCCACCACCAGTGGATATTCGCGTTCAAATGGCATCAACGATCACGCAGGGAACTAAACATGAATTATGCACCGTGTTGTTCATGATTTTATACTTTTTTGGTATGGCTTCGAGCATATGGTGGGTAGTTCTTACATTGACGTGGTTTTTGGCCGCTGGCCTAAAATGGGGTCACGAAGCAATAGAGGCCAACTCACAGTATTTCCATTTAGCTGCGTGGGGAGCACCAGCAATTAAAACTGTCACTATCCTTGCTATGGGAAAAGTTGAAGGTAAAGATTATGCCATAAAAATAAGTAATAAAACGTACAATAGTCCTTAAGCTTACCAATGTCTGAATTGACTTAACAGGAGATATACTGTCTGGTGTCTGTTACGTCGGTCTATGGAACGTTGAGGCATTACGAGGATTTGTCCTGGCACCGCTCTGTGTTTATCTAGTTCTTGGAACTGCTTTCCTCCTCGCTGGATTCGTTTCTTTGTTTCGGATACGCACAGTAATGAAGCACGATGGAACGAAAACCGACAAGTTGGAGAAACTCATGATACGCATCGGTATTTTCTCCGTGTTGTACACTGTACCTGCCTTGATCGTAATTGCTTGCCTTTTTTACGAGCAAGCTTACTTCGATCACTGGATGCTGACCTGGAATATGGAAATGTGTTCTCGGCCAGGACCTCAGTCTCTCTACTCGATTCCCTGCCCTGTCGGAGAACGAGCTCGTGATCTAGGTCGACGTCCGGACTTTGAGGTTTTCATGATCAAATACTTAATGGCTATGATAGTCGGAATAACAAGCAGTTTTTGGGTCTGGTCGAGCAAGACTCTCACCAGCTGGAAACAATTTTTTAATCATATCCAAGGCAGACGTACCGAAGCCTATGTTTAATCATGGGTGAAAAATTTATGAAATGCCCTACCTTGGCGCAGCATTAGAAAGACGTGCAATTGCAGTCTATTGTAAGCAATTGCGAGACTGAACAAACATGTAGTACGAATAGATTTGTGCCGAGCACAAATCTACGAACTGTAATCTTGAACACTATACGATCTTTTATTTTATTTTATTTTATTTTTTTTTAATATTACGTTCATTCGGCTTAAAGTTTACATCTTACTAGCCACATATATCACTATGGTGAATCCTCATTTACTTGTCCGTCCGATGTAGGAAAACGGAATAACTATATTTGTTATTTGTACCTTCCAAATGTCGATACTTGGATTGTACGTCCAATTCCGAATTAGACCTATATTTATACGTGCTTTAAATCGTGCTGTAAAGAATTTTTGTGAATGTCAATTAGTACGATTTATTCCTACTACTATGGGTACTATGACATGATACTTTTTTTTATCTAATGATCACATTACCGCTGATAACCGCACGAAGAAAATATTAATCAAAAGTAGAACTACGTCGATTTGCATAAATTGTACTGGATCTCCAGTCGCAGAAATGTATAAATGAACAATCGACTCAAAACTTGATTTATTAAGGAGACGACCGTCTTCTTACTTATTTAGTACAAACGTTCGTTGTCGGAACTTATTGCGTACAGTGCGTAGGTAATAATAAATGAAAGCATCGGAACCGAAATATGCTCATATACATTGTTAAAACGATCATTGTCTTTACTTTTTTATGCATACAAATGTATATATATTTCATGTAAACAAATTTCATATAAATGAAATCAAACATTTGAGTATTTCCGCTTAATTAATTCACCATATTTTAATAAATCTTTGATTAAATACCCATCCAAAAGTGATTAAAAGAGTTAAGTTACCTGAAACTAATGATTTGTGCAACCTTAAGTTACATATTATTTTTAACCCACCACCCAACGCTGATTTAAGTAAAAGTGGAATGAGCAAAAGTAATTCGATTAGTTTATTGATCTAGACAAGTTCATTAATTATTTTATGAGTTTTTTTAAATGACTCAGTTACAGGGGTAATGTAATCATTCCCCTGCCTGAATTATCATTCAAATACGACTAAATTTTCAAACGAACCAATTGCATTTCTACATGTCAGCATGTATACTGTACTCATTTTTCCATTTCCTGTTTTTTACGAATTTTTAATGCTCTCGATTTGCGTAGGTATTTTACTAAGAAGGGTGAAACTGCTACTGTCAACGATAATCTAATAGGTGCCAACATTTTATGAATAGCATAAGCGACTACAAATGTTGAAGAACTGGCTAATGCTACTTCAAGTTTTTCACTGGTTTCCAATTTCAAACTTTTTATGTAAGTTGCAGCATCAAATCCTCTGAAATTGAAAAGTGTTAGGAAAATTAGATTGTTGGAAAAGTAAATTAAAGAGTAACTATAAAAGTTTAAAAGTAATACAGGTAATTTTATACTGTTGTAAATAACACCTACCTTGAAACTAAGAAGTAACATATTCCTAATGACAGAAGTGAAAGGCTAACATGAAAAACGACAACAGCTTTGCCATAATCCTTTATAGCTAATCGATAGGCTTCCTTTCGCGACATTACAGGTGCACTTTTTCCTACAACTTTTTCTTGTTTAATATCATTTGTCGAAGAACTAGCACCAGTGGCAGAATAACACTTGTAATAGATGTAATTTACAGAAGATAACTTAACAGGTAATTTTAATATGGATGTGTCAGCGATGCCTACAACATAAATAAACTTTAAATATTTGTTTGCAGGTATGTATTGTTATCTATATATCTATGCAATAATTACAAAGTATAATCCATTTTTGTTACCTAAGGATCTTCATTATGTCAATTTTATGTACCTTTCTCAGCATATTCACTGCTTCTGGTTAATCGCATAACAGAATTATTAAACGTGGAAATATATTCATGTTGTTTACAGGAGTATGTTAACCGTGGAATACAAGTAGTTCCTTGTATATTTTTAAAAACATTTGAACCTATATAGAACCTTACACCTGCACAAAAAGAAATATACAATTAATGCATCTCACGGAAATAATTCATTTATTGATATATTGTAACAATGTATTGTACGTGATAATAAACATGTACATCATGCATTTTTTCCAGCAAATGTAAAATTTTTTAAACTATAATGACATGCCACATTCATTGACCAGTTATGTGTGACTGAAATTTATGAAATAGGAAAATTACTTAACCTACCAGTGCACATAAAATGACTTTTTAAGAACAATAGTCTAGTGCTAGATACAATGCACGGCATTGCCATTGTACATTTATGAGTAACAATTTAAACCGTAACTTTCAGTTTTAATCTTTGCTAACACCTCTCTTTGCGTATATCATGACAAGGTATATATATTTAAAAGCAGGTTTCTATGAATGGTGTGCGTTTCAATGGCGGAGCGAAACACACGTGAATAGTAGTACTTGAAGATTTTCTATGACAATTCTCATCTTTCATTTGTTATATCCGATCACATGATTATTTAGTTGTAATTATTTATTTTCACTTCTTCATTGACAAGTCAGAAACCAAATTTTCATAGTGGCGCGTAATCACTTTTTGACAATCTTTTTCATTTCTAGTGCTGCCACCGTTTGACGTTGTGACAGAGGAGGGTACTATCAAATATAACTGAATATAACTGAAGAAACGTCATCGTCAGCATAAGAGCAGATTATCACTGTTTGATGACAGTTTTATATAATTTCTTAAGTTATAAATACAAAAATTGTGGATCCGCGTTATAAAGATATTCAGAATGTTACCGGCTGAGAAAATAGGTGAACTAGTTGCACTTGGTGTTAACTGCCGATAAGAAAGCATTCTTTCGTTTTTCACATCTTTTGACAATATGTGAACCTAAATATGTTATACAGTCGGCAAAAATATTGAGGTTATGTTCCCGGTGTATAGATGCCGCCACGCATGACTTGATCTCTGCATTCTCTTGACAATATGTGAACCTAAATATGTTATACAGTCGGCAAAAATATTGAGGTTATGTTCCCGGTGTATAGATGCCGCCACGCATGACTTGATCTCTGCATTCTCGATCCCACCCCTAGATCGATCCGGGTCGATACCTTTCCTTTTCCAACATACTTTTACATTTTATTTGTAAGTTATTAACTGGTTTTACTAATACGAAGACATTCCTGGGTTCATGCTCGAAAATATATCCACTTTAAACATCTCGTTTACAAAAGAAACACTAACTATGAAGTAAAGATCTCTATATCACTAAAAGAAAGCTACGGGCAATTTTTCATCCAGATGGCTTACACGATCCGACCATTACCTGTACTACTTATCATTAAAAATCAATTAAAATTCTTTCAAATACCAGGACAAACCAAATATCGAATAACCACCAGCGTAACCAACATTAAATACCTACCATCCGTTTAACAAATTCGCCACATCCCCTTCTCCTGCGAAATCCGTTAATTTAAGGATTTTCCCTACCTGCACGCCCAACCAAAAGACTATCTCACCAAATACTTCGAATGCAAGAAAACTAAACTTTCATTCTCAAAAAATTCCACATAATCCTGATAATTACCCCATTTCAATATAAAATCCACGGACTGCATTACTGAAACACTCTCAATAAATATCGACTTCAAATCTAAAAAAATCCTCAAGAAATTCTTTTTACTATCCATACAAACCGGTAATTTTCTTTGTTACGTTCCATCAAGAACCTCAGTAGTATTCCCACGTCGAATACACATTAAGCGAAGCTTTTATTCGATCATCTACACATTCGGTATATACACACAGGTGTAGGGAAAAAAATGGAAATCGCCGAGACCGAGAATTTCCAAGCTGTCGGGAAAAGCCGGCGCGGCCAGAGCACGAGGAGCGCTCTCGAGAGGCCACGAGGCGCACGCCCACAAGTACGCGGCCGCGCGCCAGGCTGCCTCAGTGGCGCCCTCCGGCGGCGATGCACTGTACCCGCGGCCGTGGCTTGGCCAGCCAGCTCGTGGCTCGGCAGAGAGTCGGAGGTTCCCGTGTGCGCGAACGCTCGTAACTCGGCGTAACGTAACGTCGCGCGAAGGTGCGCCGTGGCTGGCTGCCCGGGGGCCCTGTTACCTGGCCGAGCTGCCGCAGCCGCTGCCGTGCGCGTCGCCGTCTTCGCCGGAGTTAGCCGAGACGAGCCGAAGCACGGCCACGGCATCGACGGTGCGCGTCGTCTCGAGTGTCGCGCGACCAGTGCCCGACGTCCGGGGACCGCTCCCCGCGCCCCGTCCCGGCCACCCTCGCCGAGCTCCGGGTCGACACCGCGAGGTAAGTCACCGACATCCGTGTACGCCAGGAGGAAGCGCGTCGAGCGGCGACGCGCGAAGGAGGTTATGTTCGCGACCCGCTCTCCGCCGGCTCGACTGCTCCGGCGACGACGTCGCCGCGGCGAGCGTTCGCTTGCCTACCTAGGTACCGCGCCGCGTCGCCCGCCCCGAGAGAGCCTACCTGTCGCGGGGAGAGCGAGCCGACGCGCTCCGGGCTTTTCTTTTCTCTCTCTTCTTCCTTTTCTTCTGCGTTCGTCCCGCACGCCGTTTGGCGCTCGGCGCGTCGCGCACCGGTCGGGAGCTTCGGGGAAATGCTCCGTTTTCCCTATGAATAGAAAAGTCGTCGAGCCGGGCTCGATATTTACAAGGCGAGAAATTCGGAGCGAGACAGGTTAGGTCGTCCGTCGGGCTTACCTGTCGCGGGGGAGACTCGTTTTTCCCCTATTTTCCTAGGTTTTCTTCCACATTTTACCGGTTTGATGGACCGCGCTCTGCTTATGGACTCCTCTCGCCGGAATATGGTTAGCTGGTTGGTCAAAGTTTTTGGAGTAATTCCAGTTAAATCGACGAAACGACTCGTACCGACTGCTCCATTTCCTCCGAATCTCTCCAGTTCCATTCGCGAATTCAACAGGTTACGCCCCCATTACAGGGTCTTACGTGTTAGCGCGATTACGTTGCAAGTGCTAAGGAAAAGAAAAGAGCTGCGTGTCGAGTCCTTCTAACGCTTCCTTTTTCTCCCAGCCTGTTTCTTCGCCTCGCTGTTACCGTTATCGTTATTATCATCTCGGCAGGTTGGGCAACGGTCACTAATTCATTTATTGGGGTAATTACGGTGGAAGTGTCTTTGGGAGTCTCCTGTGGAGTCGTTGGTCGCGACGGCGGCAGCGCTTTCGCTTCGAGGGTTCCCTACCTGGGTGTCGGGTATTTCATGGCGGAGCGGTAACCTTGCGGACGGTGGCGCTCGTTAGCCGCGCTCTGCCGCGACGTCGAGGTCTCATAAGAATACCCAGATTAGACGATTTATCGCGAATCCAGCGATTCTATCAAATCTTCTGCTACACCTTTCGTTAGTCGCGCTCGGCCGCGACGTCGAGGTCTCGTAAGAATACCCAGATTGGACGATTTATCGAAAATTCGACGATCTATCGCGAATGGAGCGATTCTATTAATATCGTTTATAAATTTCGTACAAAAGTCACAAGTCGCAAATTGGACGACTTAAATTCCCAATGGCTTTGCCAGTAACCATTTCATTCAAATTGCAGGATTATCGTCGTTATATAATAAACATTGTATAGTTGGACGCGAATTTGTATAATATTTCTATATTATTATAATTATTATTACTGTCATATTTTAAATGGTCTATATGGTTTTTCATTTTAATGTTCGGCAACTTTTGCTCCGATTTGACGACATCTAACAGGGGGAGTGGCGACTTCCTCTAGGAAAATCCGGACACTCTGGTCGAAGATTCTCATCTATGAGATCTAAGAGTTCCATCGAGTGCGTCGAGTGTCGCACGGAACGCGGCGTGTCAGCGCGTCGGAGATGAAAAACTAATCTGATTTGCCCTTAACCTCGTGCATTGATTTTATCTTAGTTTTGGTTGGTTTTTCATTCTTGACCCGTAGGCGCGCACACATTTTGCATTTATCCCGGACAAGAACTAAAAAGAACACTTTTTTCTTTTTTTCGAGAAATGAAATTTCGTGTGTCTCAAGACCTTCATTAGGACCTCCGTAATCACGTGTTAAAGTTTCAAATTATTCGGTGCGCCCAGGTTGGAGTAAAGTTTCATAAACATTTTCACGTTTCTATACATATATAGAATGACCCTTTCATATCACCTTAATAACGTATTCTCTGGTACCGTCGACGACGTCATGGCACCGTTGCACTTATTTTGTGTACCCATGAAATTGTCTGGAAAAATTCCTGTCCCAAACAAAAATTGCCGCTTATCCTGTGATTTTTTAAAACACAATCTTACCTAACCAAGGTGTATAATAAAGCGTTTAATAGGGAAAACCATTATAATATAACGTAGAACAAACAGCGGCGGTGAAACGTCTCACCTCGCGTGACACGTTAACTTTCGCTCGCGCCTTCTCTAACCTGGGCGTCATGGCATTTTAGGCACGAACTATTTACCCTTAAGATCGTCGCATAACCTATCAAGAGAGGGACACGGGGCGTTCACGCAATAAAGAGGTGCATCAAAGACGGAACCCTTGACCAATAGTTTTTTTTTTCCCGTAAATTCTTTACTACCGCGGAGGATGAAATTTAATAGATCCTCGGCGATGTTCCTCGATTAATAGATAATGGAACGTGACTTAAAATGGCGCCGTGTCTTCGTACTAGAGCAATGTTTCTCGATCTAAGTCGGGCCTAATGGACCCCTTTGGGCTATCGAATGTCCAAAGAACCGCCGACTGGGTGCCGGACACTTTGGGCCTCCTATCGCACGGCCTTACTCTCACTTACCAGGGTCACGACCCGGTGGGGTACCGGGCACGCTTGCAGATAATACCGACACGGGGGCCAGATACGATTTATTGTTTCGGACTTTCATTTTATTTTTCTTTTTTTTCCCCTGAATTTTACTACGCAAGAAAGATAGCTCGACGCGGCCGCGTTCCGGTGGTGACGGTAAAAACGCGCGTCCCCCCGATCACGTGGGGTTAAAACTCAACAGTCTTATCGTTGAATTCCCCGCGGGGGAGGGAACGATCCGCCCCTTCGTTCCCTATGGTTTAAAGAGAGAAGCCCGCACTCGGTTCACCGTTCCCCGCGCTACGTCGAGGTCGGCGTCGTCGCGACGCTCGCGTTTTTCCGCCGGCGGCCGTTTCATAACCGGCCGCTCGCTTTCGTGCGGCGCGCGCGCGGGCGGGCGCGTTTCGCAAACGGGCCGCGGCCGGAGTCGCGGCCGCGACCGTATCCCGCTCGCCACCCGCGCGCATGCGCGCGACTTTCCGAGTCTCCTTCGTTCTCTCGCTCTCTCTTTCTTTCACTTCTTTTCTTTCTCCTTCTCCCCCCCTACTCCCTCTCCCCTTGTCGGTCGGTCTTTCTCTTCCTCTCCCGTGTCGCTGGGCTCCGCGCGGATTGTCGCGCCCGTCGATCGCGTTTCCCTCTCGCGCGGGCCGAGCCCGCGGCACGCGGCGGCGCAGCTACGGCCGAACGTCGCGACGCTGCCAGCGGAGTCGTCGACCGGCCGGCCGGCGCCCCACCTTCCTCGCCCGCCCTAGGGGGAGGGCCAATCACGAGGAGCCCCGAGGGGGAGCGCGGCTCCGCCGCGACTAAGTCTTCCCGGGACATAGGGGCTTCAAATACCCCGGGAGCCCGGCACCACGTGACCTTTCGCATGGTCACGTGACCCGGGAAGTGCTAATCGCACTCGAGCCGGCGGAACTGGCCAATGGTAACGCTCGGTTTATGCGGGTTCGTTGCGCGCGCATCGTTTTAGGGATGACGTTGAGCACACGTGACTTCTCATCGACCGATTCGGCCGATTCGAATGGACGCAGGGTCACGTGCTTCCGGCATGCCGCGGAACGTGCGCGCGCAGAGGTCTCTTGCTTGCGATCGTTAAGCGACGATTTTAAATCGTGCGCCAGTTACGATTAGGGGGAAGCCGGGACAAGGAGGAGTATTTACTCCACACTTATTTGCTATCGGTGGAACGTAACAATGTATGCTTCGCACCTACTCGAACGTTACACTGAGGGACGGCATAGGTGTATCCCCATTGATACCGAAATTCGTTCCATGTTCTTTCGAGGTACCGCTTGGTGCATTCTACGAGTGGACGGGTTTGGTTTGTACGGCCGTGTGTATTTTGATTCGACGCTTGTTTTTCGATCTCGAGGATGTATGGATACTTCGGTGGGGTTCGTTCGTCTGCCGACGAAAACGGTCGACGAGGGTGGGACGTCACGCGCGCGCGCGGAGGGAGAAAAATTCCTCGCTTTCCTCGCTCCGCGATCTGGGAAAGATGAAAATATCCTCGCCGGTTACGGGCCGGCTCCGACTCCGGCCCGGAAGCGCGGAGAGCCGAGCGGCACTCCAGCGCCGAGGGGAGGGAGGGCCGCCGATATTCGGTCGGCCGAGTCGGTGGTGGCCCGGCGGGGCCTCCGGCTCGGCGGCGCGACCGGCCTTGAGCCCTTCCCCCTCTCTCCGCTGGAACGCGCTCTTACTCCGAGAGCGTTAAACTTTCCTCCCCTTTTGGAAAGGAGTAAAGGCTGATTCAGACATATCCGTACCGTGCTCGAGCCGCGTACTGACGGAAATATCGTCTTCTCGCGCTTGTACCGGATTGTTCATACGTTCAAATTTATATCGGGATGTTCGTGCGTTCAATATTATATCGAAATGTTCATACGTTCGGATTTATATCGGCACGTCCGTCCGCGTCAGGGCGCCGACAGGGATCCGGACGGATATGTTCACTGCACGGACAGTCCGACGTCGGTCTTTAAAATAATGCAATACTAACGATACGCTTACCAATAATTCGCTTCGAACCATACATTTCTATTCTATCCCGACAATAATTGTACAAACGACTTGAACTCCTCAATTGGACATCAACGAAATCGTCTTCACTTTAGCACTAGAACTACCAAGACGGGTCAAAATGACTCATTCTATACAAAAAAAAAATCTGCCGATCGTTCTAGTGTTAATAAGAAATCGCCCTACACGCGACTTACGGCATTCCAGGGAAAAGTGGTAGAAAACCCCCTTCTAAAAGTCAATCAATTCGTGATAAATCACCCAATCTGAACCGCCTAATATACCAACCGGCAGTCCTTTTCATCTTTCCCGTGCCGTTTCTAAGAGCTCTCGGTATGCTCCGGTGTTAAAAAAAAACCCCTCCTTCCGACCTCGGAGGCGGTGGGTAATTTCGGGGACAAATGGTGACGATCGGCGGATGATTCAGCCGGGACGCATCCCGGGCTCTTCGCGGTTACGTCGACGCCGGTAGTCGAGGAG